CAATCCTGAAATTTTGGATTTCTAAGTTTTCATTACTGTGATTGTTTTTGGTGATTTTTTTTTTTTTTTTTTTATGCAATTTTTTTGCAAGGAATTTTTTTCTGCAATAACAATTTTTATAACTTAGAAATAAATTTGGGAATAATCAAAATTAATTGTAAAATCCAGTGAAAGTTACCCATGAAAAAAAAATAATTGCTTTTATGAAAAGTAAGGACCTACGTACATCAAACTGCCTTAAAATTAAGTGGCAACAGAAGAATTATTGTTGAACTCTTAAAAGGTAAGTTTATATATTAATGCAATACTTAAATGGAGTGATTAGTTTTGTGTTCTTTTGTAATTTATTGTTGCCTATCACATCTAGTCCTCCCTACCTAAAATGATGAAGACCCAATCAAAGAACCCTCCTCAGAAGCTAGTTTAAATGACACTTGATAGGGTGGCTTTTAACCTAGTATATATATATATATATATATATATATATATATATATATAATGTATATTTTCTTTCTTCCTTTAATAATGACACAAAAAGCTTGTCTGTGAATATAAAAGGATACAATTGAAAATAAGTAGACAAAACTTGTCTAAATTATTCAGTGAAACATGTCTCATATATATATATATATATATATATAACCACCGTAAATAGACAAAATTTATTTTTAATATTATCACACGTGATAATGATTAAAAGAAAAAATGAAAAACAAGCTAGCAAAACGGTTTCAATCCTCACTCAACAGAGCTAAATTGAGGTTAATAAATAGGTATACATTATCAATAAAAAGAATGGAAAATATGTGACAAAAAAAAAAACAAAATCACGTATTGTCAAATATTCTCCACATAAGTGAATGTAATGGATTCAACTGGAATTCGAACTCAGCTCTCCAATTCCTCAATCGGAGCCGCTGTTCACTACTCCACTCCATACAGCTGAGTAAATAGCAGGACAGACTATAGTCTAGGCGAAGGAAAACTTTGAATTCAAAACCTGCAGAGGGTCATTTGGAGATCTTGTGGCATGTAGTACACCAGGTCTCTGTATTCAGCCCTTCAAAAAGGGTGATTGGTTCAGCACAAAGCCTTCACCACTGTAATCAAATCATATGTGCTGGTGTTTGGGCTGTCAGTTCCTAGGAGCTGTGCTGCTTGACCCTCATACGATGGGAGAGTCTATCATATATATATATATATATATATATATATATATATATATATATGTGCATGTGTGTGCATATAATAGGAAAGAACAGTTAGATTGATGATCCAAAGTTCTTTAGTATTTTTGTTTTTATTTTTAAAAAAACAGTTCTTGATACATAAGTAGAGCCTAGATTATAATTTTGAAACAATGCTTGAGGATGAAATTGCCACCCAGTGGTTAAGGTTTAATATCGGAATTAAACTTAAATACTGCTGACCAGTTTTAAAACACAGTAATTTCTGTGTCATGTTGGAATCATATTTTAAAAAAATAAATAATTATAATATATATATTGATATGTCCCAGAAAGGGATATATTTGATCAAAGTAGCTAAGTGGTTTTGGCTACTGTAATCAAGTAGTACATGGTGGCAGTAATCGACTGGTGCTTGTCGTAGTCGCAAGTAATAAGATAGCCAATGGTGTAGTTCAATGGGCGTTGTCATAGATTTAAACTCAGTCATACCTACACGTCCATCTGTATTTATGATGGACACCAGCCAATCGTATACCAATAAGGAGGAAATCAGGTGTATGCATATTCCATTATATCATATATGTGTGTGTGTATGTGTGGTGAAGACATCATGTAATCTAAAAGCCTGCATCTACAAACACGAGAGAGAGAGAGAGACTTGCTTTTAGACAAACGATCTCTTTCGTATTGCATTGAGACAATGATGGACATACTTTGATTTCATTAATAGCACACTAATTCTGACATAATTCTTTAAGGAGAAAGTACTTTGAAAACTTAATAACGTTATTATCAACTATAAACACATGCCTAAAGCATTACATTATATTGCCATTTTTCTTTAAAGAATCTAACTTTCATCTCTCTAATACAAAGAATACATGCTTAAAAAGATCAGCCAGAGATTAGAATGAAATGACACCCTGCTGCACTAGCTGACCTCACAAAGGTGAAAACATTAAAACTACCAATAGACAGACACACAAACACAATTATGAATACACATTACCTTCTAATGCCCACTTAGATATAAAAGAATCTTTATAAACTTACAAACATGTAGTTATCAACTTTTTAATGCACATGATACATGACTGACCAATGAGAACTGAACCAAACAAAATTGAAAATACCGAAGTTTCTGTTATTTTGTCTGTTTTCTATCAATCTCTGATGAAGCTTTAATAAAAGGGAAACATGTTAGATTGATATACATTTCCTATTTGTTCTTTATTTTATCATTCTGTTGGATTCAGATCCATATTTGATGTGCATTTAATCTTTAATTCTCTCTCTTTCTCTTTGTGTGTGAGTGTGTGTATGTATATATATATATATATATATATATATGGAGAGAAAAGGAAAACATCTTAATCAACATGTTTTATCATCTGTAGGACTTTATCAAGGCAAATGTATTGGCTAAGATATGTTTAATCCATTTCCTATCTGAAATTTTCATACACACACACACACACACACACACATTTATATATTATTTTATTCATTTATGTTTCATTTGTTTATACTTATTGTCACTGTGCAGTGAAGAATAAAATTGGGCAGCAATCCACAGGTGCCCTCATGCACATACAGCATCAAATGAAGAAAACTAATATCTTTCAAATTGACAGTGTGTGGCAGCCTTCATTTTATACAGGGCTCAAGGATAAAAGCTGCCCCTTAAACACTTTGTCCTAAAATAAATAGAACTAAAATGTCACCTATAACATAACATTTCAAAGAAATGATACCTTCAGTGTTTTCTTGTCTTTCATTATCTATAATTCTTTTATATATATATATATATATATATATATATATATAATTATTATTTATAAAAAAATTATAACATAAGTATGTTATAAAATCACTACAAAAATAGCCATTTTGTTTCAACACACTCTGTGTCTTATCAAGGGATGATGTTGAAAAAAAAAAAAAAAACATCATCACTTGATAAGACACAGTGTGTTGAAACAAAATGGCTATTTTTGTAGTGATTTTATAACATACTTATGTTATAATTTTTTATAAATAATAATTATATCTGCTCTACTTTGTATTGAGCACTCTTTTTAAGAATAGTAATTGTTGGTTATTGGAATTCATTCTGTATATACCAATTATATACTTGTATATATATATATATATATATATATATATATATATATATATAAATTATTGGTATATATATGTAGGTGTATGAGTGAGTGATCATATATAAATACTCTATAGTGTAAGAAAAAATAGTACTCAATGTAAAGTAACAGAGCTATTTATATATATATATATATATATATATATATATATATATATATATATATATATATATATATATATATATAATTAGCTTGTTACTTTATATATATATATATATATATATATAAGCAAATATATGGATATAGATCCGACAGTATGAAGAAAAATATATACGGAAAAACAAACAAAAATCAATATATACATGACAAAGTTTTTTGTTTTAATAGTCTTGTTCTTTTGTACAATAAACCATCTTCATGTTGTATTGATAATGTTATAACATTATCAATATGTCCTGAAGATGGTTTATTAGACCGAAACGTCCGACGTTGACATATTAACATTAAAACAGCATAATTGTATATATATCCTGATTTTTTTTGTTTGTTTTTTCCTATATTTTTATATATATATATATATATATATATATATATATATATATATATATATATATATATATATATCTTACAATAATTGCACAACTCAGAGTTTCATGTTAAAACAGTTTTTCAAGTGCTGGAATTATCATAATATTTATTTCTATTTATGTTGAGTTGACCTGAAATAGAAATAAAAGTAAATATAATAATTCCAGCACTTGAAAATTGCTTCAGCATGAAACACTGAGTTGTGCAATTAATGTAAGATATTATGCATATTGTTTAATATATATATATATATATATATATTGTAGGTACTGTCAAATATTTTTCTTAATTTTGAAAAAAAAAAATAATAAAGAATAGAGCTGAAACAGACATTTTTTTTATATTTGATATCTAATTAGTAATTAAATTCTAATATATTTGTAAAATTAATTTATGGTCTTTTAAAAGGTCGAATGGTACTTTAAATCTATAAGAATAAAATTCTATTAATAATATTTAAAATATTAAAAATATCACTTACACATATTTAAATGACCCTTTTAGAAAATATTTCTGTATAAAAATATGATTTAAGCAGATGAATAAAAATGCAAAATTATTTTTTTTTATATCATTGAAAGCCTCGATGACTCACTGAATAACGGAAGTATACATTTGTTAGCAGGCACCCTCACCTCACCTAAACTTAACCTGACTTTATAAGTAACATATATTGGATACATAAGCTGTCTAGGGAAATTAAAACCTAAACACCCCTAAATTAAAATAGATTTTCCTTAACTTTATCAACTCATAATATCAATATTGTCTGCGCTTATAAGTTAAGTAAATTTCTTTCAAAGTTTCTTCCCAACATCGCTTGGCAGTGGAATGAGACTATGGATTTTAAGTTTAATTTTTATAATTAAATTTATATATTTAGTTTCAGTTTTGAAACATGGAAATTTTTCTGTGTCGTTTATGGAATCATATTTTTAAAAAGAAAATAATTATAAAATTATATATATATATATATATATATATATATATATATATATATATATATCATATTTAAAATTTGCTAAATTTATGGGGTAAAATACTAGGTATAAGTATAGGCATAGAAATACAATGATCATTTAGGTTATATGATATTAGCAATTGCTGCATCTTCATTTAAATGTTCCTCCACATTTCTATCTATCTCTTGCTTTATCTATCTTATTCTGCACATATCTACAGCCTGTCTGAAGTTATTATACAAATCAAATAAACCTCAATAACCCGTAAAGTTCTGAATCAATATTTGTTAATTTTAAATTCGTCCATTTCCACTATTAGTAAAATATTTAGTTAAATTTTCTACTATTTTCAATGGTTAATTTGTGAGATGTTTGGAATTTATGAAAATGGAGTGACTGATTGAAGATATTATGCAGATTAAACTAATATTCGCTTAAGACCTCTGAAATCTAATAAAAATATATTTTTCTTTTTTGTCCTCAATATATGGTTGAAACATGGGTAAAGGGATGGATCTAACAATTGTTGAAAAACAGAAAATAACAAAGTTATTGAATGAGGGAATGTCCATATTGGAAAATATCAAAGGAGCTTTGGAAAGAGCATTGAACAATTAAGAAGGTTGTTGAAAATATAAGTTGAGAACTCGATGCTAAGGGAAAGGCTTTCAGAGAGGAATGTAAAATAAAGCAAGTTATAGTGAATCAGCCACTTTTGACCAGCACTCAGATTTTTGAAAAGGCTGGAATTGAGGGAGTCAAGAAGGACAAAGGTGTAGAATACTTTGTGAATTGACATCTGTAAAAAAAAAATCTCCTGGGCAACCACCTCTCATTAAAGCAAATATTTTAAAGCATCAAAATTGGGCCAAGAAATACACGGAAATTGACTTTTCTAAAGTAATTTTCAGAGACAAATCTCGAGATTTGATGGACCTGATGGATGGGCCAAAGAATGGATTTTATCTAATTCAGACATGTCTGTGGCTAAAAGATGGCAACAAAGAGACAGCAGTATCAGGATATGGGTTGGAATTGTCTACCAAACCATTATTGGACCGTTCAAAGTCGATGAAACAGTTAAACTGAACAGTACTAATTATTACGAATTTATGAACAAGTCTTTCTTTGCATGGTACAAGTCCCAGTCTCAAAGTTAAGTGTGTATTTATACACGACAATTCTCCATCTCATGTATCTATGCTTACCTGTGTCATACCTGAACGTACCTATTCTATTATTAATAGACTCTCCCACACATAATAAGTAGTAGTAGTAGCGGTCACCAGTTGAAGCAATTAAAACTAGCATATCAGAAATTGAACCTGCTGAAGTAAAAAAAATTAACAAAATCTATGGATAATAGATTACTGGCTGTTATTGAGAAGGGTTACTATATTAGAATGTATAAGATTCAAAGACTTTTTATATATATTTGTTCTATTATAGATGTTGATCAATTTTTGATGATTTTATTTCCTTTTTATTGAAGTAAAATGCGATTATTTGGTTTTGCCTAATAACTTCAGACAGCAATTTTTTTTTAGAATACATCAAATAAGTTCAATAACTTCAATAAAACATTCATACTACCTAAAATTTTAACTCATGCTTTGTTTGAGTGTTTAAAATTTGACAATTTTTTAAAACCAAATTTGAATTATTAAAGTTTATGATTTGTTAAATAACTTCAGACAGAATGTATATATCTACCTATCGCAGAAAATTATACATGTACCACAGAAAGTTCACATATATCTATCTCAGAAAATTCATATCTATTTATTAATCAATCTAATTCATATGTATCTACTAATCTCACAAATTTATACATGTATCTCGAAGTTCATGCTTGTTTCAGTAAGTTCATATCTACCTATCATAATAACATTAACTATGTATGTATCTACTTCTATCACAATCTGACTATTATCTATCTACCTACATATCTCAGTTCATTATCTAATTTCATTATCCATCTGTCTCTCTCAGTTCATTATCTATCTCAATGTCTATTTCAATATCTATCTAATTCTGCTCATATCTATCTATCTATCTAATTCTGCTCATATCTATCTATCTATCTAATTCTGCTCATATCTATCTATCTATCTAATTCTGCTCATATCTATCTATCTATCTAATTCTGCTCATATCTATCTATCTATCTATCTATCTATCTATCTATCTATCTATCTATCTTATCAAAAAACCATAAATGTTCTCAGAACCATATGGGCATCACTCCATAACATGACCAATTGCAGGTTGGTGAGGCTGTTTAACACATAGTTGGAGGTTTTTGAATTCAAAGTTGTCCTTCTAGTCTGATTATCCCCGAAGGCTAGAAGACCCAGTCCATACTGCTATTTACCTGTAACCGAGGTGAGAAGAGGTGGATTCATACCTTTCCCAATATGATTATATAAATTTCTAAATATAAAAACAATTTTGGGCAACTGTATGACAAAATGGAAAAAAAAGAACTGGAGGGTCATTTTGTGGGGATGAAATACATAGATTTTTTTTCCTATTTTTTTCATTCAATAGCCCAATTTGCTCAAGGATGTTATTCTATGAAAATAAAAAAAAATGAGAGATGAAAAATTTTTTTTTAGATAAAGTATTTTTATCATTATTTCATTACAACTTTCATATGGTTTGGCGATTGTTCTTTATTCTGACAGTTTGTGTAAACAGTCGAAGAATTTATGCATCAACTCAATCAATAAAACAATCCCAAAATAGAAGGACCAAAATAGAGGAAGAAAATAAGAGGCAAGAAGAAAAATCTCAGTAGATGGATTTAGAAAAAATAAGAACAGATAATTACACCAATCCTCTCAGAAAGATATATAGGCTCTCTATTAATCTGCTGAGAAACCCCTTTCTGCCTTCCATCACCATGGCTGATGCTAACCTCTAGGAGAGTAACCCATTGCATCTTTTCAGGCTAACATTCTTGGCTGACATGAAGTGGGAAGATTATATTGAATCCATTGCTAGGTCAGCTGTTCACTGTGTCATGGAAGACAATTTTCATCTCATTGTTTTTATGAGCTCTTTGCTATCATACTCATTGGGGCTAGTTTTTAAATTGTTGTTTTATTCCCCACCCCGAGAGATAATGAATTGTATATATGGCAACTAGTTAGGACTTTGATAGAGACATGAGGTATTATAGTGAATGTAGTAAGAATGCGTTGTTTTGGTGTTAGGAATATTGTTGTATGTTTGGGTCAGTGTTTTTGGCTAGCTAAGTTTAATATTAAGACAAAAGAAGACCATCCTTTTCACCATTCCCCATTTTGACCTTGTGCCACATTTTCTGTATCTAAGCAGAAATAATTATCACTCTTTGCTTTATGAATTTAAAAGCAGTACTAGATTGGCAACAAGGTCTCATCAAGTCACATCTGAATTGGCTAGATGTAACCATAAGTTCTATGCTAACAGCTTCTTTTCTCACACTCTCCACTTGTGAAACTCTCTTCCAGGTCTATGCTTTCTAATAAACCTTGATATTCAAAAATTTGAATGCAATGTTAATTTTAATCTACTATCCACCTGATTATTCTTCTATTGTTTTCGCACCTCAGTAATGTTTCTGTTTTCTAATTCTTTCACATCCCCTTGTATCTTAGTGGCTAAATTGCCTTGTTTGGGGTGAACTTGATTTAAAAAAAAAAAAAGAAAAAGCCACATTTGCTGAGGTAAAACACAAAGATTTACTTGAACTGCCAGGAGAGCTCAAATTATTTGTGAAATATATTAGAATAAGCTGGAACATTTAGAGGAAATAAAAACTTAGCATATGGATAGAAAATTAATTGAGCAAACAAACAAAAATAGAAAACATATAAGACAAGGATGCACCTTCTTGCCAGATTTGTGTATGTGTCTGTGTGTACACACAAGGGGATGCTGGAATGTTTTCTGCCTAATCCTTTTCCCTAAATCAGTAGTCTGATGTCTCTTCATTGAAATACTGATTTTGTTTGTAGTTGCTGAAAAGTTTTCAGCTTGACCAAGAAGGGTTTAAAAAAAAAAAACCCAGTAAAACAGAATTCAGATGTTTGGTTATTTTGGCAGGTTTTAAGAAGTGGGTCAGGCCTCAAACTTTTCAGTCCCTACCCCTATATATAAATTTGTACTTTTAACTTCCTCTTATGAATCTGGCTTTAATTTAAAGGTGCGTCATTTTTTTTTTTTTGTATGTTTTTGCCTTATCAAAACAGTCATAATTTTTTTTTCAGTTTTTCTTTTTTTTTTGTAGTTTCTATTTTTGATTTTAAATAGCTGTTCTTCTCCTTCCTCAGTTCCACTAAGAATTCATCTTGACTTCTTTCCCTGTCTAACCACACTATGTTAAGTACTTCATCTTAATGACTTATTAGTTATCCTTTAGAGCTGAAAGATTTGAACAGACTTTTAAAAGACAACACCTATCTCACTCATAATATCTTTGTCCTTTGTTACTTTTTATTTCTCTTTCTCTTAAATAGAAAGGTTTTTCTTTTCTTTTTATTTCTCTTTTTCATCATCTCTCATTTCTCTCCTTCTTTTCTCATCTTCTCTCTATCTTTCCTTTATTAATTCTTTCTTCCCTTATTTCTCCCCTTCTCTCTTTTCTTTCTCCTTTTCTCTTTTTTCCTTCTCTCATTCTTTTCTCCTCTTTTTTCATTCTCTCCTTCGCATTCTTCTTTCTCTCCTTCTTGTGTTTCTTTCTCTCTCTCTCTCTTTGTCACCTTCTCTTTTTTATTTCTCCCCTTCTTTTTTTTTCTTTCTCCCCTTCTTTTTTTCTTTCTCCCCTTCTTTTTTTCTTCTTTCTCCCCTTCTTTTTTATTTCTCCCTTTCTTTTCTTTTTCTCTTCTTTCTTTTCTTTTTCTTTTCTTTTTCTCTTCTTTCTTTTCTTTTTCTCTTCTTTCTTTTCTTTCACATCTTCTCTCTTTTCTTTCTCGCCTTCCTGCCTATTCTTTTCTCTTTTCTTTGTCTCATTCCTTTCCCCACTTCTCTCTTTTCCATCCTACTCCTCTTTCTTCCTACTTCCCTTCTCTCTGTCCTTTCTCACCTCTTTTTCTGTTTCTCTCCTCCTCTTGTTGTTTGTCTTCTTTCTCTTTTCACTCTTTCTTATTTCTCTTCACTTAAGAAGGTTAGAGAAGAAGTAAATAAAGTTTAAAACTTTAGGTAACAGTTATTAAAATATTATCTTCCTTTATAAAGCATACTAGGCTATACAGTGTTTTCCTGTTTATAAAGGGAACACAGGTTCAAGCCCAGCTGAAGACTATATTTTCTTTATTAAAATCTTTCAAAAAAAATGAGACCAGTAGATGAAAATTATTGTGTTGAAAAAAAACAAAAAAAAAAACAGATGTCTACTCAAACCCTACAACATTTTCTATTCACTAAATATAATGTATATTACTAATAAAGAATATGAAATATATATAGTTTTAAGGTATGCTATATTTATGGGATATAGTGCTCAATATCAGAGATAGAGCACATGTAAATATAAAATGAATATTGATGTCAACACTCAGAGGTGACAGACTCTTTCATGTTAAGTGACCTGATGATTGTGTTTAGCATGAAACAGTCTGTCACTTCTGAGTGTTGACTTCACTGCTTATATATATATATATATATATATATATATATATATATATATATATATATATATATAGGAAAAGACAAGAGGAAAACTATACTTGGTCTTAGCCAGCATGTTTCATCATCTAACAGACTTAATCAAGCCAAATGTGATGAAGGGAAACAACTGAATCCATCATTTTAATTTTGGGAGATGTATAATACAAACATCCATCTCGTATTTCAATCCTGAAAAAAATTTTTTCTGTTTTCTTTTTCGAGTATACTAAATGACATAATCTAAGGTCTTAATGCCTAGACATTTCAGGTAAACTGATTAATATTTATGAGCATTCTTAAACTTAAAAATTTTGAGTAATGGCCAAATATTTACTTGTTGCAAAATAAAATCATTACATTACCTTGATAAAGTTTGTCAGGTGACAAAATAAGTTGGCGAAAACTAAGTATAGTTTTCCTCTTGTATTTTCATTCATTTTGTCACTTTTACAGATATATTCTATCTGAGATATATTCTATATATATATAGAATATATATATATATATATATATATATATATCCCTCACCGATACGATAGTACAGCTCAAAGTTTCATGCCCAACGCAATCTTCAGGTGCTGAGTATAGACTGGCTGTGATGTAATTTAAATTTAAAAAATATATCTGGTTCTGGCAATGTTGGCACAGTTATATATCATACTGGGATTACAGTTTTAATTTTAAAAATTATACTTGACATTTAAAATAAATGGGATTTGTGTGTGTGTGTGTGTGTATATATATATATACATGTAAATTAGCTCCCTCCAGCTATGGGTAAAATAGCAGGACTGGCTGGGTTCTATAGCCTTGGATGGCAACTGGTCTAGGAGAAGGACAACTCTGAATTCAAAACCTGCGGAGGATTGTTTGGGAACCTTGTGGCATGTAGTACACCAGGTCTCTGTAATCGGCCCTTCAAAAAGTGTGGATGGTCCTGCACGAAACCATCACCACTATAATCGAATCTCATGTGCCGGTGTTGGGCTGTCAGTTTCCTGGAAACTGATCTGCTTGACCCTCATATGTCAAACCCGACGGGAGAATCAATTTCGATTTTATGTAAATTAAAAAAATTATTTTACAGTTGTGAATATTAATTTTTTTTATTAAAGGGAGATTACTTGTTCTTTTTTTATATAAAAAAACAAACAAAAAAGAAACCATAATTTACCTTAAAAATAAACTGTAATTCATATTAAAAATTAATCTGGATCACTGACTACATGTAACTATCAATTAATAGGGATCAAAACCTATATGCAACCATTAATTCACTTCTCTTGTTTAATAAGCTAGGGTTATTTATGTGTTTACAATTTTTCAACAAGACATAAGTTATATCTATTTCCTTTCGCATTATAAGATTTGGCTCTTGCTATTATATCCCAGTTGAGGAAAGATGCATTGCCATCATTCTTTAATTGACAGAAATATTTAGAAAGAGAAGTGGTGTTTTTGTATTTTATATTACCTAAAGTCATTCAATAATCATAGAAATTAAATTTCCACAGATTTCAGGATATATATATATATATATATATATATATATATATCTCCAAGTATAGGATTGGTGTATACAGAATAAATTTCAATAATCAACAAATAATATTCCTAAAAGAGTGCTCAATACAGAGCAAATATTCAGCACCATCACTTGAGAAGACACCAGAAATGTTGAAACAAAATGGCTATTTTGTAGTGATTTTATAACATTTTTGTTATAATTTTTGAATAAATGATATTATATATATATATACACACACACACACACTACAGTTCAATAGTTTGGGCCCACCCTAGGTAATTTTTTATATTGGCCCTAAAAGTAGTTGTTTTGTACTTTAAATAAGAGAAAATTATTATACATGGTTAAAGAAAATAAGTCAGACATGATTTTTACTGATGGAACCCTATATATGCAAGGGGAGGGAATGAAATCTGATAAATGTTTTTTATATTTATAATTTATTACTTCAAATGTTATTTTTAGTGGTTACTCGTATTTGAGTCTAGATGCTGTGTTTATTTCTTAAACCGTATATTTATTTATTTACATCTACCGACCTGAGTATTTGAGAAATCTGGTTTTACACTGAATTCAGAGTTTTGGCCCTGGAATTCATAATATACTGGATATAATATATCCGAAATTTTCATGCTCATTGGAAAATATGGCAAACCAAATTCTTTATTTCGTGAAATATTTCTAAAGAAGTAATAGATTTTTAAAAATTTATTAATCCAACAGAATTTATCACTTTAAATGTTATTTTTAGAGGATACACATATTTGAGCAGACAATCCATTTATTTTTTAAATAGTATATATTTTTTTTTTTGTCTATTGGCATGAATATTCGAGAAGTCTTATTAAAGAAAAATATGCACTCTCCAGCAGGACTTGAACCTGCATCCTCCTAGAGGAAACCATTATTAGATCTGACATGCTTTGAGCTCTTGGTAGATGAAAAAAAAAAAAATGCTGTTTAATAAGTAAACGGGAGTGTCTATTCAAATACGAGTATCCACAAAATATAATACATAAGTTATATATATATATATATATATATATATATATATATATATATATATATATATATATGGAACAGTGTTATCAACAAAAGATGCCGATTCATTGGCAAAACCTGTCAGAGTAGAAATTATTGTAATTGTCTTTTATGTTCAATGTTCTGTATTCTCATCCAAGTATACATTTTATATATATATATATATATATATATATATATATATATATATATATATATATATATATATGTTTGAATTATCCACAGACAAAATGATATTAACTCTACTTCAGTGTCAGAGATAAAAGCATTTCATAATGTATATCACTTAACCAAAGAATTTTCAGACATTTTTCTTTCCAGTAAATTTTGTGCCAGTACTTTAACCACCAATATTGGCAGTAACTTATAGGATGTATTTGTCTTGTACTTAGAAACCAAATTAAATTCCATCAGTAGAAGTTCTTTATTTTCAGAAGACATTTCACAGACAAGCCAAGAATTTGAGTAAAGTTATTTGAAAAATAACTCTGAAGGCGTAATCTAATTAAGGATGAAGCAGAAAGCCCGTCTGAGCAATAAAACACTCAAGGCGAATATTCTTACAAGAATGTGCGATTGACTTTGTAATATTTTAATGTGGGATCATGTCATCCTCAGAACTTTTGTTTGTTGTAATTTACAGACTAATTAAAAAAGTTATTTTTTTGTAAAACCTTAACTGGTTTTCTTTTGAGTATAAATGGAAAAATTTGTGCTAGGTCACCTGCAGTCAAAATTAACAGTAACACACACACACTCATTCAGAAATGTTCTTTCTGGCAGTCAACTTGAGTGGTTTATATAAGGACACAAGATGTCTAATATTGCGCAAGAAACAAATTTGCTGGTTTCTTTATTCAAGGAACTTCGGACACAGTTTGGATTTTTAATTTTGGTAAATAATACATGTGACACGTGGGCATCTGATCTAATGATAAAAGTGACTTTCATTGCTGAATTGATCTAATTAAAAAAAAAAAAATGTGGAACTTGCTTTATTATTTTCATTTATATTATTTTGATATAAATTACTTCTTTTTTTTCCTAAAAATAAAAATTTAAATTATAAATAAATGATAAATAAATAAAAATAACTAAAATAAAAATGAATAAAAAGATAAAAATATAAAATTAAAATATTTAAAATAAAAAAATTATAAAAATGACTACATTTTCCTTAGAAAATGATAATTTAAAATTGCAAAAGTGCAGATACTAATACTTCAATCAAATTTAAATTCATACAGTTCTAACATTTCATTCAAATTATATTTCATTCATTTCTAATATTTCATTCAAATTATATTTCATTTAATTCAAATTATATTTCATTCAATTCTAACATTTAATTCAAATTATATTTCATTCAATTCTAACATTTCATTCAAATTATATTTCATTCAAATTATATTTCATTTAATTCAAATTATATTTCATTCAATTCTAACATTTAATTCAAATTATATTTCATTCAATTCTAACATTTAATTCAAATTATATTTCATTCAATTCTAACATGTAATTCAAATTATAATTGAATTCTAAAATTTCATTCAAATTCATTCAATTCCAAAATTTCTTTCAAATTATAATTCATACAATTCTAACATTTCATTAAATTTATATTTTATTCAATTCCAAAATTTAATTCAAATTATAATTAATTCTAGAACTTCATTCAAATTATAATTCATCCAATTCTAAAATTTCACTTAAATTATAATTCCTTCAACTGTAAAACATCTTTCAATTTATAATTCATTCAATTCTAAAACTTCATTCAAATTAAAATTCTATTAATTTTAAAAATAGATACAAATGGCAAATTGAAATACTATTTTAGTCATATAATGTGCCATCTTTCCTCATTATTTTAAAATAATTAAAAAATATATGAGAAAAATATATATGTAAATGGCATTTTTGAGCAATATTCTATTGGTGAAAAAGAAGCC